GGTGGTACTGAAGTATATCCAGAAATAGACCAGGTGAGATGACAAAGAAAAGTGAGGCTAAGAAGAGGGAACAGTAAGCAGAAAAGGTCTGGAAACAGAATGATGCCTTCACATTTTGGGTCAGCAAGAAATCGACGGTGAAGGGACCAGAGGGATGTGAGTGAGGAAGAGATGTCAGGAGGTGAGAAGGGAAACGAAGGATGGTAGAACCTACCTATGGATATTATTGTCCCAGGAAGAACTCTTAACACACACACACACACACACACACACACTCTTAACACACACAAATATACACACAGTGGGGTAGGTGGACCTTATTCAACACCTTATTTGTTTCCTCTTTGTACTCTGTTACCTGTTGTATCCAGCATTTTCTCCCAGTGCCCCAAAAATTGCTCAAGCCACTTCTTATAGTCTCCATGTGAGATCTTCATGAGGAACATCGTTGTATCTCTGTCATTGTCCAATGTCTCTTTTAACAGTCTGCCTGCAGGCTGAACCACTGTCCAATTTCTGTTCTCAGAGTCAAAAAGGAGGGATATCTGTCCATTGAAGCCAAATGGCCAGGATCCACTGGTGCGTCCATTGGCTTTGCAGGGACACATCATCCTGCCCTGCAGGGTGAGAGGATCTGCCCCCAGGAAAGAGGTCAGCCTCTGGTTTCCACAAATCCTTCTACCCCTCATCCCACTTGGTGTCCGGTCCTCTGGTCCCCTTTGTATCTCCTGGTCCTACTCAGTCCTCTATGTCTGCTCTGGCTGCTGGACCTCCTGTGTGGGACCAACTTCTAATTCTTAGATAAATACAATAGCTCCCTAACCGTACAGAAACTATTCTACATCTACCCTGAACCTTTCAGACTTACCACTGGCTTTGGAAATTTCTGGTTTAATGTTAAGCAGTTTCTTTCTGAGTTCTTACACCAGGTCGTTCAGAGCTTCTGACTCTCTCTCCCAGGCCTCTGTAGTGTTTACCTTCATCCCCAGGGGACCAATGAGTTGGAACTTCTTGCTACCAATGTGATAGGACATAAAAATTTTTCCATTGACCTTGCCATGAACCTCACACCAGGGTCATCGGGGTGTGGGCTTAGGAATGATGGTGAACTCACAGCAATGAGTGTGATCATCTGTGAAGGAAAAATGCAGGTGAAAGTTGGGGTTGGGAGAAAGGGACCCCTAGTCAACCCCCGGCCATCTCTGTCACAGCAACAGAATCTCTGAAGAGCTGGGCGGCAGAGCAAGGACTACCCTTACCTGGCCCCTCCCCCTCAGTAGTTAAAGGCTAGTGCCCCTTCCTTGCTGAAGGAGGATGAGGTGGATGTCTCTGCCTGTCAAGAAACCACACATGGACATGTCCTCTCTACCAGGCCAAAACCCAGCATCAGTTAGCCCACAACCAATCCAGAGACATCCCAGGCTGGTTATGGG